TGCCAATTTCTGTCATGTAAATACTCTCACCCTGTGCAATTTCATGCAACTCACATCATGTCACTGAATGTAGAGCTGGGAACACACACTTACCAGGCAAGGATGCTTGGTAGCTAAGAGCCCGCATTCTGGAAGTGCCACTTATCAGCTGTGACCTCGGGCAAGTGCTCTGCTCCTCAGTTTACCCACCTGAATAATGGGGTGAATCATTTTACCTGCCTCATCCCTATGTTCTGAGTTGATACATGGCAGGCGTTTAGAATTGTGCTGGCACAGAGTAAAGGCTCAATTCATGTCTGCTCTTCTTCCTAGGAAAGACGGACATGCGCGCTCTTGACTTCTCAGAAAAGGGGACCTTCTCTACGTGTACAGTAGGAATTTAGGAATGGTGGGAAAGGCTAGCTGAAGAGATGCAACTGGGTGTGTCAACAAAGAACCTTGGGTGTCAGGCTAAGGAGTTTTACTCTTCTGCTGAGTGTCCCAGAATGACTTCCATCAATAGCAAGATGATGTGACTTCAATAAGAAGAGACTGAATAGGTCTTATCCTAAGATCCCCAGAACTGAAGCACACAAGGACAGGGGTGGGTGACACAGCTCAGCAATCATATGTATGATCCCCAAGCCTGGTACCAGTCAGATCACAAAAGCAACAGCTGTGTCGGCAGTGACGGCAGGAGTGGGTGCCCAGAATGAGGCCCTAGCTGACCTTACCTGGAGGGGAGTGCCTGTTCCTGAGCCCCATCTCCAGGAGGGCTTCTTGAAAACTGGGGGTGTCTGGGTCACAGGATGCCTGTCAGATAGACGGAATGGGGGCCAACTGGTGTTTGGAAGGGGGTTTGGGGTATCCAGCCTCTGTCTCCAAACTTCTGAAGGATATTCAGGGGTAAAAAGCAGCATCGTTGTCCCACGTGGCTCCACTGCAGAGCTGGCCCCAAGTGTGGGCACCCCAAGGAGTCAGGTTTGAGCTAGAGACAAGAAAGATTTTTCTAGCAACTCCAGTGTCCTGGGGAAATAATGAGCTGTCTTGGGAGTGGTGAGTTTCCTGTCCCCAGGGGCACTTTTTAGGAACAGAACTGTAGTAGGGGCAGGGGGGACGGGGGGGAGGGGGGAGTCACGCCCTCACATGATTTCACAGGAAAAGGAGGTTTCTTTAGGTGTTGGGAACACGAGAGCCTCATCAGAAACACATGAAGTCAGTCATGCCAGTTACGAAGATTAGGTTCATAGGTTTGTAAAAGTGTAGAAAAAATATTACATTTTACCAAGATTAAAAAAAAAAACACAGAAAAATCAGGACCCCTTCAGTTGCTCTATGGCATGGAAAAACCTGTCAAATATTCTCTGCTCCCCACCTTCTTGGGGGTCCTGCCCCAGCACTGATTCACGCCCAAGTCATGTCCAGGGATGTTGCGAAGAGCAACATCTATTAAGTCGGACACGTGCTGGATGAGCTCCAGGGCCGACATTCTGTGACGGTGGGTGATCTCATGTTAACCTGTTCTTGAACATTCCAAGCTTTTCTACTGAGGACTTTGGCACTTGCTGTTCCCCCTGCCTAGAATACTGTTACTTAGCAAGACATGGTGCTCTTCATTCCTAATCCTCTAGGTCTCATCTTAAATGACACCTCTTCCAGGAGGCCCTCCCTGACCATCTACCCAAGGTAGCTCCTCCTCCTCCCATTAATCCCATATCACTGTTTTCCCCCTGCACAGCACTTACCACCATCTTTTTTTTTTTTGATGTTGTATGCAGTATATTATTCAACAAAATTTTTTTTCCTTCTGCAAATATACAGATGATTTATCTACTTAGGTACAAATGATGAAAATTCTATATAGTTGAAATGATTTCATATTCAGTGATCATATTCCTCAAGATTAAACCAACAAATCATAGAAATATTCTGACCCAACTCAACAAACTACTAAATTGGACTTTTTTCCCTTTATAAGCTTTTGCCAATTATCAACATTCAGCTAACTTTAACTTCTCCCATTAACCTAGCCAAACCTAAGTAATTTAGCAATTTCTCATGCCCATTTTACCTTTCTACAACTCAGCCCTCACAGCACTTTGACATCATCTTTCACTCTCTTTGATGTATTTCTTTACTTGTTTATGACATCCGTCTCCTACCCCTTCCCCTAGAGAGCAGGAAACTTGTCAGTCTTGCTTTTCATCACATTATCAGCCACTAGCCCAAAGCCTAATACATATTCGTTGGTTGATACTTATTTGTGGAGTAACAGCAATTGGATTGGTAAACCAATTAACTCCGGAGGGAGTAGCAGTCTCACTGGATTTCAGCCATTCTGTAGGTTGGCAGTTTGCTCTAAAGACGCACACAGCCAGCCCAGTCTTGGTCTCAGTCTATTGGTACATATGTAACAGGCTCAGGTTCAACTTTCACCAAAACTTTTGCTAAAAATGCAATCCAGACACCTACTTGGTAGCAAGGACAAGTTTTGCTTTATCTTTGAAAAATCAATTCAGCTGTTCGTTCTTGGGAAGCATTCCCTGAACGAGTCTTCCTTTCTGACTCTGTTTCTGTTGGTCCCTCCATCTGGAATGGATGGACCAACATCACTCTCTTTTTCACCTGGTAAAAGCCTACTGTTCTTCCATGCAGTAATGCCACCTCTTTTTTGGAGGCAGGAGAAGCCCTAGAACAACCTATGGCTCTGACTGGCAAGACCCAAGACCTAAGAGCAAAGCTTCTAGGCTCCTGATCCTGAGATACTCACGATTCCAGGCCAATCCGCTTGTCTTCAACCCCAATCCAACCCAGCAACCATTTCCTGAGCAAGTCCTGTGGACAGAGCTGCAGTGAGGCACTAAGGAAACAGACGCAAAGCGAAATCAAGAGATGGTGATCCGGCGCCTGTCTGTTAGCATGGGGGAGATGAGAACAGGGCTTTAGAATGCCCGTGGCACCTAGAAGAACGTTTGAACTCCTTCCCAGCGCTTAAGAGGAGGAGCCACCTCTTCCAGACGCCTCCCTGATATCTGCCTGGCAGAGTTCACAGCCTCCCCTTCTGTTCCTGGGTCGATCGGTCTCACCTCTATGACAGCACGGGCCACAAGCTGCCAAAGTACCCCGGCAGGTCCGTGGCCGATCAGGACCTGCTGCCACGCCTCTCCAGGCTTGCCTTGGATCCGCACACAACCCAGCGCTTTGCTTGGAAGAAGACTGATGCCAACCTCTTCCAGTTCTCAGACACACCGTCTTGTGCTCTCTCTCTCTCTCTCTCTCTCCACCCCCTACTCGCCTCCCCCTCTCTCTCTCTTTTTTCCTCCTTGTCTTTCTTCTTTTACTCCCCCCCCCCCACTTTCTTCTCTTCCTCTATTTCTTCTCCTCTTTCTAGATTTAACATGCTTAGCATTCAGTAACTCTTTTGTGAGCACCTACTATGTGCCAAGCTCTGTTCTGGGGAAAAGCAATGAACAAAACAGATGAGAACTCCACGCTCATGGCCCCCAGAGACCTTGCATTCTGGTGGGAGCAGACAGAAATAGACAAGTCAATAAATAAAATATATAGAGTTTGGCAGGTGTTGATAAACACTGTGGAGAAAAATCAGGAAAGGAGGAGAGTGGTGTGTCTGTGTGTCTGTGTGTTGCGGGGAAGAGGGCTGATGGTGGGAGCAGACAGTTTGAATAGGGTGGCCAGGAAACATCTCAGGGCAGAGGGGACATGAAGGAGGGGAGGGAGCAGGCTGTGGGGACACCCTGGAGAAGAAGGCTCCAGGCAAAGGAAGTACAAAGGTCCTGGAACAGAGGCATGCTTATGAGTTGGAGAAATAATAAGGAAATTAGGTCTACCTTTGCCAAAAAGCCTTCTTCTGGACCCATCGTCCTGCCCCAAACTGGAAAAGTTCTGCTTCTCTGTGTTCTCCCAGCAGCCTGTGAGCTCCCACATCATAGCATCAATCACAGTACATTACAACGTTTCCCCACCAGACAGGGAGCAACTTGGGGACTTTTGACTTTCCAGCACCCAGCATAGGGCTTAATACATATTTATTGACTGTCTAACTGAATCAATCAATGAATAAACAAACTAGGCTATGAATCCTGGAGGGTGTCTCATTCATCTCTACCCCTGGCAGCATCTAGTACACAGTATGGCACAGATTGGGCCCTAGAAAAAAAATGTTTGTTGAATGACTAATAGAAATAGCTAATGCTTATTAAGCACAGACACCATGCTGAGTCCTTTATGTGGCTTACCCCATGTATCCTTAAAGTGATCCTATGAGGGAGGCACTACTGTCAGATGCAGTTTGCATATTAGGACAGCGAGGCTCAAAGGAAAAGAAATGACTCACCCAAACCAGACAGCTGCTAAGTGGCAAAGCTCTGAGTTGAACCTCATTAGTTTGACTCCCAAGGCCATGTCTGCTCAGCCCAAAGCTAAACTGCCTTCCAGAGAAGACGGCCTGGGAGTGGAGGGAGGGAGGAGTAGGGAGAGATAGAGGAAAGGAGAAGAAAGATCTCCCTATACAGGCCAAGAACAGCATCTTCCCCATCTCTGTATTCCTCTCCACATGTACCAAAGTGTATGGCATACAGAGGAGTTTAGTAAAAGTTAAGGAATATTAAGTAGATGTTGATGATTCCTTTTCCCAAAAAGGAATAGTTTTGTGTGGTTTAAGTTAAAGAGAAATTCCGGCAAGGCCTCAGATTAACACGAACAGAAGTCCCAACTTGAATCCTACGGATGACCCTGCCCAGCTTTGCCCCTAATCTTAGGAATGATCTTCTGGGTAACCTCCATCTCCCTTTAGGTGTGGCCTTGCCTCTTTAAGAATGACACAGCTCACAAGGTTTGACACATTCTGGGTAAAGGACCCTGCAGCCCGAGGGATCTCCTCTTACAGGGTCTGTGCCTTGCCTACCCCTCCCAGGGCCCCCTCTTTGGCTTCCTGGACCCCATCTTCTCCAGTCTCACCCACTCCAGCTGGTTGGCCTGCAGCCTCCATGCCCGCAACTGACCTCTCTGGCCTGGCCTCAGCTCCTGTTCCCACGAGCAGCGTCATCGGGCAGAGCCTGGAGCCCCAGGCCCTGCTGGCTCCCCTCCTGCAGCCACAACATTGGGGTCCACGGGCTGCGGATCCCAGTGGATTCTAGGCTTCCAGAGTCTTAAAGTCGTGAATGAGAACGAGTGGTGAAGACAGGCCTGGAGGTGGTGAGAAGGAACTTCTGCCCAGACCCAGCCGGGCATCCGCCTGCTCAGCCCACAGCTGCCCTGGCAGGTGCAGGAAGTCCAGCAAAAGCCTGGAGCCTGGAACTGGCTCTCCTGCCAAACAAGCCTGGGCAGTCACCCAGAGAATTCCAATGAGGGTTGAAGTGAGTCCTGAATTATCCAGGTCACAGCCTTATCCGGTTTCACAGGCTTTGCTAATCTCCTCAAGCCTGGAGGGATCACCCCCACCCACCCACCTCCTGGGTCCTGAGCTCAGAACTTTCTTAAGGATCCGACAGTCTGCTAAGTAACTCGACTATTTTAGTCCCTGGGGTCCTCAGTCTTGACGGAGGCAGAGGCCTGAACACAGAGCCTGGGGATGGATGGGATGCCTAGGAAAACAGATGGGGAGGAAGGTGGTCAGAGGGGGAGGTACTGGAGCCATCAGGGAAGCAAATGTACTTCTGGAAGTGAGTTCTGAGAGTGGGGACCAGTGGCCAGAAATCAGGTGGTGTCATTCATTTCTGAATACCTACCATCATTATTTCCTGAATACCTACTGTGTGCCAGCTGCTGGGCTGAGAGGCAGGTACAGAGATGAATAATGGAGGGGGCGGTGCGGGAAGGTCCTTGCTCTCAAGGAGCTCAGAGTTTAATGATGGAGACAGAGCAGGAATGAGCACACCACCGAAAACACTGCAGAAGTGCCGGGATAGATACGCCCAGAGCAGCAGCGGGGAGAGGGAGGCCCCGCCCAGCCAGCACAGGCTGGGGACTAATAACTCAGCAGCCACAATAATGATGGTAGAATTAACGTTTGTGGGCACTTACTGTGCACCCTGCTAAGCGCAACACATGATTTATCCCGTCTAACATAGGCATTAACTCCGTGGGGGAAAGGGCTATTCAGACAGTGATCCAGGAACTTGGCCAAGGTCACACAGCTAACCAGAGCCTCCCGTGAGCTTAGAAGGACCCTTTATTCAGATTGGCAGGCCCTGCTTTGACTGGTATAGTCCTTGACAATACAGATACTGTCTTTTTTTTTTCTCATCATCAGAGAGGGAGATAAAAGCCTTAAAAAACAATCCAGAAATGCATAAAGTTAAAAGTGAATCATAATCCACCCAAGATAACCACTTTTCAGAATGATTTCTATTCTTAAGAATAATATTTAAAATAACTCTGATTAAAAATAATTTTTATCTCTTTCTTTGAGATTTTGTCCATATTGGCTTTTATTTTATTTTATTTTATTTTTTAGAATTAAAGCCTTAAAGATTGAATTGGAATTCTTCCTTGACGCTTCTTCTGCCCTATTTCCAGCCTTCCTTCCCTATCCACAGATAAACAAATCATGAAATTGAGGTGTATCCACAAAATTAATAACATTATTTCCTGGTTTTTATTTCTACACAAATGGAATAATAGTGAACTTAATATCTTGCAAGGTGCTTTTTTCACTCTATCCACATTGATCCCTATACAACTGATTTAAGGTATATAATGAAAAAGGCAATGTTGGGTCATAGACTATCCACATGTTTTCTTAAAATTTTATTTTGAAAAATTTGAAATCGACAGAAAAGTTGCAAGATTCATGTAATTAATACTCATAAATCCTTCAATTCACCAATTGTTGACATTTTGCTATAATTGCTTTACTTCTGTCTCACACACACACATTTGAGGGTAAGTTGCAGAGACTTCATTCTAAATAATTCAGCATCTATCGTCTAAAGATAGACATTCTCTTACATAACTTAACGCAGTTATGACACTCAAGAAATTTAACATTGATAGAATACTATTATCTAGTATACATTAAAAATGTCTAATATCCAATTTTCCCCTGTTGTCTCAATAATGCTCTTTATAACCAATTAAAAAAAATTTTTTTCAATCCAGAATCCAAACAAGAATCAGGCATTGCATTTAGTTGCAATCCGTTGTGTCTGTTTGGTAATCTTTCATCTAGAATATTCCTCAGTCTTTTTTGTTTGCTTGTGTTTATGACATTGACGTTTTTGAATCCAGGCCAGCTGTCTTACAGAATCCCCCTCCATTTGGATTTGCCTGATTGTTTCCTCATGGTTAATCAGGTTAAACGTTTTTGGTAAGAATACTCCATAGGTCAGGTGGGAGGTGAGTATGGTATGAGGTAGGAATTCCGTATCTCTGTAGGGAAGGTTGATAATTTCAATACCTTTTGTCAAACAGTACAATCTTTCCCTTCTGATTTTAATGCTCCATCACCTAAGTTTCCACCTATGCTTGGATCTGTTTCTGGGCTTGCTTTATTTTACTTTGATCTATTTGTCTACACTTGCCCTAATATCACTCTGCCCAGTTACTATGGCTTTTTAAGTCTTCATATATACTGAAGACATCCCTCTTCTTCCTCCTTCTTCTTTAGAAATGTTTTGGTTATTTTTAAACACTTATTCCTCCACATGAATTTTAGAATCCGTTTTTCAAGTTCTATGACAGCTCCCATTGGAATTTTTATTGGCACTTCATTGAATTTTGTAGATGATGTGACAATATTTAGTCTTGCTAACGCTGAACATGACATGGGCTTACTCTCCATTTACTTAGGTCTTCTTATATGTCCTTCAATCAGGTTTTATGATTTTTCTTCCATGCAGTGAGATACTATTCAGCAACAAAAGACATGAACCATCAGGTCTCAAAAAGACATGGAGGAACCTTAAAAGTATATTACTAAGTAAAGGAAACCAATCTGAAAAGTCTACATACTGTATGCTTCCAACTATATGACATTCTGGAATAGGCAAAACTATTGAGAGTAAAAATATCTCTGGTTGCCAAGAGTTTGGGATGGGGAGAGCACATGAGCAGGTGAAACACAGGGGGATCCTTAGGGCAGTTAAACCATTCTGTAAAATACAGTGATGATAGATACATGACATTGCCCATTTGTCAAAATCCAGAGAATATACAACACAAAGACTCAACCTGAATGCAAACTATAGACGTTAGTTAATAATAATGCATCAGTATTAATTCATTCATTGTAAGAGATGTATCCCACTAATGTAAGATGTTAACAGTAGGGGGAACTACGTCTGTGTCCAGGATGGGAGGAGGTTTATGGGAATTCTGTACAATTCTTCTGTAAATCTAAAACCTTTCCTAAATACAAAAACAAAACCGAAGTTTATTAACTTATAAAGAACTGTTATTGTAATATGTGCTTTTACATGATTATATACATTCTTTTTTAAAAAATTGAAATACAGTTGATGTACAATATTACATTAGTTTCAGGTGTATTACGTAGAGACTTGACATTTGCATACATTATGAAGTGATCACCATGATAGATCTAGTAACCATCTGGCCCCACACAAAGTTATTACGATATTATTGACCATATTCCTTATGTTGTATGTTACATCCCCATGGGTTATTTATTGTATAACTGGAGGTTTGTACTTCTTAATTCCTTTCACCTATTTCATCCAACCCCCAACCCTTCCCCTCTAGCAACCACCCATTTGTTCTCTGTATCTATGAGTCTGTTTTCATTTTGTTTTGTTTTGTTTTTTTGACTTTCCCCATATAAGTGAGATCATAGACTATTTGTCTTTCTCTGTCTGATTTATTTCACTTAGCATAAAACCCTCTAGTTCCATCCATGTTGCCACAAATGGCAAGATTTCATTTTTATGGCTGAGTAATATTCCAGTGTGTGTGTGTGTGTGTGTGTGTGTGTGTGTGTGTGTGTATACACCACATCTTCTTTAGCCATTCATCTATTGATGGACACTTTGGTTGTTTCCATATCTTGTCTATTGTAAATAATGCTGCAATGAACATTGGGGTGCATATATCTTTTTAAATTCGTGTTTTTGTTTTCTTCTGGTAAATACCCAGAAGTGAAATTCCTGGATCATATGGTAGTTCTATTTTTAATTTTTTGAGGAACCTCCATACTGGCTGCACCAATATGCATTCCCACCCACAGTGCAGGAGGGTTCCCTTTTCTCTGCATCCTTGCCAACACTTGCTATTTGCTGTCTTTTTTTTTTTGGCTGTGTTGGGCCTTTGTTGCTGCACGCGGGCTCTCTCCAGTTGCAGAGAGTGGAGTGGGGACCACTCTTCCCTGCAGTGCACGGGCTTCTCCCTGCGGTGGCTTCTCCTGTTGCAGAGCACGGGCTCCAGGTGCACGGGCTTCAGCAGTAGTGGTGTGCAGGCTCAGTAGTTGTGGCTCGCGGGCTCCAGCGCGCAGGCTCAGCAGCTGCGGCCCTAGGGCCCAGTTGCTCTGTGGCACATGGGATCCTCCTGGACCAGGGCTCAAACCCATGTCCCCTGCATTGGCAGGCAGACTCCCAACCACTGCGCCACCAGGAAAGCCCTTGTTGTCTTTTTGATGAAAGCTATTCTGACAGATGTGAGGTGATATCTCATTGTGGTTTTGATTGGCATTTCCCTGATGACTTGTGATGACTATACATTCTTGATTACAACACAAGCATGGCGAAGATTTTATTTTCTTTCTTTGCTCAGAGCCCATTTTGTGTTTGACTGGCTTCCATGCTCTCGGGCAGTGTTTCTTAAATTTTACTGTGCCTACAAATCACACAGGGGTCTTTTTAAGATGCAGATTTTGATCCCTGGGTCTTGGGTGAGGCTGGAAAATTTACATACAAGCTCCCTGGTGATCCCAATACTGTGGGCATGTGGTCCATACTTGGAGGAGCAGGACATGCAAACAGACAAACAAACAAGACCAGAAGACCCAGTCTCTGCCCTCTATAATCTGGTTCCTAAATAAGGGGGCAAGAAATATCTAATTTCATGACAATGCTACCAGTGTTTTTGTGTTTTTTTCTAAATCCACCTTTTGTTTTTTTTTTGCGGTACGTGAGCCTCTCACTGTTGTGGCCTCTCCCGTTGCGGAGCACAGGCTCCGGACGCGCAAGCTCAGCGGCCATGGCTCACGGGCCCAGCCGCTCCGCGGCATGTGCGATCTTCCCGGACCAGGGCACGAACCCGTGTCCCATGCATCGGC